GTAAGGCAGCCACACACTGGGCCGACCATCAGAGAACAAGAGAGAAGAAAGGAGAAGATCGTCAAGCCATTTATCTCTCTGCCCTTCAATTGAACTGCGCTTCAATTAATCCCACATCTGTTCATCAGCCAGGTTGGCACAATAAACCTTAACTAGCACACCCACACCCACTGGTTAAGTAAACACAATTGTACAGTTGAGATATATAAATATTATATTAAAGTCATCGAGAGCATGAGGGATAGAAGAGAAAATCAAATAATGGAGTTAGACACGTTTCATAGTAGCATTGCTCACCTCAGCCCCGCTTGGTGGTCCACGTGGAGAGAGAGGGAAGGGAAGGAGGACAAGGGGAAAAGGAAACAGGGGAGCAGAGGGAGCTGAGGAGAGGCCAGGGAAGGAGAGAGAGGGGGAGAGAGGAGAGAGGAGAGGTCTCTATTGCTAACCCAGGCCTATATACCTTTTGGGGGTGTGCAAGCCCACTAATTACAGGTAAAGACATATGTCACAGGAAGGGGTTGCTCTATAGGTTATACAGCAATGAGAGGGGGTGGTCTAACTGCCTTCAATTGTGAATAGGGAGTTCACCAGAGGCTTATTTCCTATATAGCTCCCTCAAATGAATCTTGGGCTCCCACTGTCATCTAAAACCTTCTGCACACCAGATTCCCACAATTTAGGCTCTGATATTAATCCCTCCTGTGAACTCAGATTACATGGGTCAAAATCCTTTGGTACCTGATGGTGGTGTACTGCTTCCAGGTGGAGTTAGTTGACATCACACTTAAATGGCTGCTTGTTTGGAGACAAGACTCTGAGACCACAGATGCCATTTTATCTAAAAGCCTGGCACCATCTAATTTTTTTGCTATAGCACCTGTATCTTCTGTGTTCCCTTCCTCAGGGCAAGTGTTGAGCAGGACGAGGAGTAAGAACTCAATGTTCTTGAGCTGGAGTTAGGATTCAGTGTGAATCTATGGCCCTCCCCACCTTAAAATTATTATTACTTGGATGTTAATACATAGGTTATATCATACCATCATTCAATCACATCAAGCAGAATTATGCGATTTTTTGCAGTTTCTAAGCATACTTTTTCTTCCTGCGTACCTTGACCTCATCTCCTTCTTACCATTCCTCTACCACCCCACCCGCTAAAACCTTTATTCCAATTGCTGACCCTATAAGTTCATCAATTTGGGGTTTCATTTATTGAAAAACAGAAAACCATATAACACAACTTCAAGA